GAACTGGAAGAAGCTCCTGGCTCTTGGCTTTAACTTGGTCCAGTCCTAGCTGTTGTAGCCATTAAGAGGAGTGAACCAGTGGATGGAAGATCTCTCTCTCTCTCTCTCTCTCTCCTTGTTCTTTCCCCTTCCTCTCTTTCTGTAACTTTGACTTTCAAATACATAAAATAAATCTTTAAAAAACATAGAAGAAATAAATGTTAACAAGAATGAAGGTATGAAGGTAGGAAGGTAAATTAGTATCAATATAATAAAAATTTTATGACAAAAAATAGAACCTTCATATACCCAGAAGTTCCAGTGCTACCTGAAATTATATATCTAAAGGATGTGGAATTTGCATGTGAAAGAGACATCTGCACTCCCATGTTCATTGCAACATTATTCAAAAATTCCAAGTGTGGAATCAACCTAAGTGTCCATCAATAGATAAATGTATAAAGACAATGTGGTCTGTATATAAAATGCAATATTATTCAGTCTTAACAATAAGGAAAATCTTATTATTTGACAACGTGGATGAGTGTTGAGGTCATTTGGATGCATGGCATACATCATGTGCAAAAAAAAGAATGTATCCTTTCCTCATTCCTAGGACTGGTGTCCAAAGTCAACTTCAGAAAGAGAGCTTTTGGGGCTGTCACTGTGGCATAGCTGGTAAAGCTCCCAACTGCAGTGCCAGCATCCCATATGGTCATGGGTTCAACTCCTGGCTTCTCCACTTCCATTCATGCTCTCTGCTGTGGTCTGGGAAAGCAGTAGAAGATGGCCAAGTCCTTGGACTTCTGCAGCCATGTTGGGGATCCAGAAGAAATCTGGAAGAAGCTCCTGGTGCTTGGCATCAGATCGGCACAGTTCCAGCTATTGTGGCCATCTGGGGAGCAAACCAGCAGATGGAAGATCTCTCTCTCTCTCTCTTTCTCTCTCTCTCTCTGCCTACCTTCTATCTCGGTGGAAATCTGACTTTCAAATAAATAAACAAATATTTTTTGAAATTGAACATGCTCAATTGGACTTGCCCCAAATGGTGGAGTTAGAAATGTGCCAGGGGATTCCAATACAATCCCATCAAGGTGGCATGTGCCAATGCCATCTCACTAGTCCAAATGATCAATTCTGGGTCACAATTGATCATACTGATAGATCTTAGAGTCAAAGGGATCACACAAACAAGATTAGCGTCTGCTAATTCTTTTTTTTTTTTTTTTTGACAGGCAGAGTGGACAGTGAGAGAGAGAGAGACAGAGAGAAAGGTCTTCCTTTGCCGTTGGTTCACCCTCCAATGGCCGCCGCGGCCGGCGCGCTGCGGCCGGCGCACCGCGCTGATCCGATGGCAGGAGCCAGGAGCCAGGTGCTTTTCCTGGTCTCCCATGGGGTGCAGGGCCCAAGCACCTGGGCCATCCTCCACTGCACTCCCGGGCCACAGCAGAGAGCTGGTCTGGAAGAGGGGCAACCGGGACAGAATCCGGCGCCCCGACCGGGACTAGAACCCGGGGTGCCGGCGCCGCAAGGCGGAGGATTAGCCTAGTGAGCCGCGGCGCCGGCCTAGCGTCTGCTAATTCTAACTGATAGAATAAAAAATGGAGAGAACAATCCAACATGAGACGCGGGATACACAGCAGACTCATAGAATGGCAGATGTCTTAACAGCACTCTGGCCTCAGAATCAGCCCTTAAGGCATTTGGAGATGGCTGAAGAGCCCATGAGAGTATTTTAGGCATGGAATGCCAAGACACTCTGGCAAAAAAAAAAAAAAAAAAAAAAAAAAAAAAAAAAAAAACCTAAATGAAAGATCTCTGCAAGTGAAATCCCAGTAGAAAGAACGGGCCATCAAAGAAGGAGGTACCTTTCTCTGAAGGGAGGAGAGAACTTCCACTTTGACTATGACCTTGTCGAAATAAGATCGAATTCAGCGAACTCAAAAGGCTTCCATAGCCTTGGAAACTCATGACTAGAGCCTAGGGAGATTACTGACGCCAAAAACAAGAGTGTCAAATTGTTAACTCAACAACAGGAGTCACTGTGCACTTACTGCTCATGTAGGATCTCTGTCCTTAATGTGTTGTTCAATGTGAATTAATTCTATAACTAGTACTGAAACAGTATTTTACACTTTATATTTTGTGTGCGTGCAAACTGATGAAATCTTTACTTAATATATACTAAATTGATCTTCTGTATATAAAGATAATTGAAAATGAATCTTGATGTGAATGGAATGGGAGAGGGAAGAGGAGAAGGGTGGGTTGTAGGTGGGAGGGAAGTTATGGGGGGAAAAGCCATTGTAATCCATAAACTGTACATTGGAAATTTATATTTACTAAATAAAAGTTCAAAAAAATTAAATAGAGCTTTGTGATTGAAACACTAGGAGGTGGGAAACTAAGAACACATTGATCACAACAGTCAAAATTAGGCAAGACCAAGGAGTTCAAGTGAACTGTCACAAATCATGAGATAACACAGTGAACAACATGTTGTATACTTGAAAGTGTTGACACAATAGACCTTTAAGTGTGGTCAGCACAAGAAAAAATAAGGCAGTGAAATAAAGCTGAGACACAAAACAGTTGTATTATACCACTCGACATTGTGTACAGGTATCAAATCATTCTCTGGTAGACATACATCTACATAATTTAAAATTATGAATTTCAAAATGAAAATACACATGTAAAATTTTCTCTGAAAAGTGGGAGAAAATAAATATGGAACACAGAAAATAAGTGGTTGAGAACCAACACAGTTTCTTTCAGTTGTCACATTGAAAAAACATGTTGAGAGCTTGGTGATTCTAGTGTTTTTGTGGAGGGCATCAGGCTGATGGGTAGGAGATCAGCTGTGGGAGAGGAGTAAGATTGGGGGATGAACTACTTCCTCTCTCTGGAATGTGGCTTATTCACTTATTAATAACGAAGCCCATTTTTTTTGGCAGCAGAATACTGTGGCCCTGGGAGTGACATTAGGCACGATAATGATGAGCATTCCTGCGGTGTCCGAAGTCATCTGTGACTGATGTCAGCACTTCACTTAATGTCTACAGCATCATGTGGGAAGATGCAGCTGGGTGTTTTGGTTATTCCAACACCAACTTTTTCTAACCCTGCTGAATTCCTCAAAGATGTCTATTCACAAAACCCTTGGCCACTGTGCATACTATTGAACAGAGCTGCTGTACCAGGATGCTATGATTGCCAAAGCCTTGTTGGACTATCATGCAACCCTAGAGGCAAAGGAGGTAGACAAGTGAAAAACATGTTTTTCCAAAGGGTTTTCCCCATAATGGAGGGCAACAGGTGCAGAGCCTCAGGCAGGTGGATCCCCTGAGTTTCTGGATGAGAAAAAATGGGAAGCATTGAAAATACAGGGAACCCAGAGCGGCTCTGATCACAGGACACTCAGAGCCAGGTCTCAGCACTGTGTCTTGCTTTGAACTCTGCATTCTCCTTCTAGCTGTGCTCTGGTCTAGCTCACCAGACTGGCACACAGGTTGCTACAGGCAGAGGGCACACGTCAATACCTGGAGTCAGCTGTGCTCTACACAGAGCTCCACTGTCACTGCTGATTGATGAGCCCTCAGACCTGATCCAGCCCTGTGTCTCCTCCTCTCAGCTGAGACTCAGGGTTCTCACTATAGTTTGGGGAGACAGTGACATATCATTTCCTCTGATTTTTCTCTACCTACTCCTGCAGGCTTTATCTAATGCACAGGACAGAATTGTTGAGAACTGCCATGAGTATCTGAAGCCAAGTGTCTTCAGAGATGGAGACCTAGTGCTGGGAGTGTTTTTTCCCTGTACATGGAACCAGAAAGAGAGATGATCCAATTATCCTTTTTACTCAAGCCTGGGTATAATGTGGTGGCATCTTGGTAAGTTTAAGGCTATGTGTAAGTCTTATGTGTTGTTATGACTACATGTGAGTGTATGCTTGTGTCTCCCTATGTCCAATCACTAATGAGATTTCTGAGAATTCTGCACAGAATGGTTGTTTTTTCTTTCACTATCTTTCTGCTTCTACTTGCTTCCCTACTCTTTCAGAGACCTAGGAGAGACACTAACATTTTTGTGCCTGCTTGATGGACAAAGTCTCTCTGATTAAGCCCTGGTGGTCTTTGAGAGAGTGAAACATTATATCTTTTGCATCCCTTTACTTTCAGTTTATGTGTATTTTTACTTGTGAGGTGAATTTTTTATGGGCAATGTAGAGTTCAGTACAGTTTTTTATTCATTCAGTCAGGCTGTATCTTTTGACTGGGGAATATATTCCATTTACCTTCAAGGCTAATGTGAGAGATGAGAACTCACTACTGCAATTTTGTTGATCGCTTACTTCTTGTCTTACATAATCTATGCTTCATTCTGCCTTTCTTTTCATTCTTTGTGTTTTGGTAGCTTTCTGGCATAACGGTGGATTTTCTTATCTTTCTCTTTTATGAATTTGCAATGTTACTGAATTTTGTATTGTCATTGTGTTTTCATGATGATTGTTATGATCCTTTAATTCTTTTTGTAAGTATCTCTTGATTAGATTCTTGATTCTTTTTTAAAGATTTATTTTACTTATTTGAAAGACAGAATTACAGAGAGAAGTAGAGACATAGAGAGAGGTCCTCCATCTGCTGGTTCACTCCCCAGATGGCTGCAATGGCTGGAGCTGCACCTATCCGAAGCCAGAAGCCAGGAGATTCCTCCAGGTCTCCCACATGGGTGCATAGGCCCAAGGACTTTGGCCATTCTCCACTGCTATTCCAGGCCATAGCAGAGAGCTGGATCAGAAGAGCAGCAGCCTACTCCAGAACCAGTGCCTATATGGCATGCTGGCTCTTCAACCCAAGGCAATAACCTACTGGGCCACAGCATCAGCCCTGATCCTTTAATTCTAATGTAGGTCTCCCTTCAGGATTCTTTGTCTGGTAATGATGAATTTTCCCAGTTTAGCTTGTCTGGGAATGATTTTATTTCTTTTTTTTTCAGATTTTTCAAGGTTTTAATCAGACTGAAACATTTCATGAGATTTAATATGCTTTAACACATAGGTGAGGTAGTTAGGTAAACAGTACTACCCATTTTAATACATACTAAACAAAAGCTTAAGAATTAGATAAATCATAGAAGCTTGGGGTCTTCTCTCTAGTCCCAAACATGAGGAAATGGAATTTAACTTTTTAATTTTTCTTTTTAAAAAAGTATTACATCATTTAAGTTTTTTTTTAAAACACTTGTTTTCTGGTAGTATACTTTTCTGAAGTTGGCACCCTTTTCTTCAATATGATTAACTGGGCACAACCCTTAATTCAAACTAAGCCTTGCTTCTAACCTAAATTAGTACAAAGTTAAGACATTATCTTAGAAAATTAAAATTGTATTTGACATTTTTATTTTAGGCTGCAAAAACAAAAACAAGCAAAACAAACAGTAACAAAAAACTTGAAATAGGTTTGTCAAATGATGTAAATTCATCCTTTCCAGAGAAGCAGAAGGTAGACCCTACCACAAAGAAAAGATATTTAGTTAATTTAATGGAGGTTACATTTAAAAGTACAGTTAGATATCAGGCTAACTTGAAAATCCTACGTTTTGTTGGCCTCCATATGGGCAACCAATAATCACTATGAATTAGAGGTTTTTGTTAAAAGTTATATGCCGCCTAAAAATAGAAAAGTCCATTAACGATCTAACAGCTATTGGTTGTGGTCATACTGGAAATTCTTAACCACAAATCTGGTCTCTTTTTTTCTTAAATATGAATTGTTTTAGTATAAATCATTGTATTTCTGTAACAAATTAATGAAAGGCACAGCTAATGCAAGCAGACAAATTCATTCAACTACCAACTGAAGAAACACTTTGGTTCTTCAGGGAAAAAAATGAGCAAAACAAAAACAGCTGCAATTCAGAATTGTACTCCAAAAGCTACACTTTGAAAAACTTCCAGGAGAACCAAACTATGTAGCAATGAATGAACATGCATGAAAGAATTTGCGCATTCAACATATCTTGCAGGAAAACTATTGTTAAAATGCTAGGTAGAACAAATTGATCTTTAAAGTATGAATTCCTTTCCCTTAAAAAAATTACTGAATCTACCAAGGAAATACAAAAACATAAGGCTGTAAGTAAATAATAGTTGTGTTTAGGCTATTACAGTGCAGGTTATCCTCAAGGCCACATACAACCTGCTTCACTGCTGTTTGCACTCTGCTGGGTTTTGATCCTTCTTTGGGTCATAGTCTGGATCATTTTCCTCATCTCCTTCTTCTCCCCCTTCCTCATCCGCTTCTTCACCTTCTTCATCATAATCATCATCATCATCTTCAGAAATTATGGGTTGTATGGGGTGCCAGATAGATTGGAAAAAAAGGAAAGAATGTCACTTTGAAAACCATTAAGAAGAAGCAGAAACACAAGGGACGTGGGACAGTTCGTACTGTGACTAAAATAGTTTCCAATGACTCTTTCTTTAATTTTTTTGCCCCTCCTGAAGTTCCTCAGAGCGGAGATTTGGATGATGATGCTGAAGCTATCCTTGCTGCAGACTTTGAAATTGGTCACTTTTTACGTGAATGTATAATCCCAAGATCAGTGTTATACTTTACTGGAGAAGCTATTGAAGATGATGATTTTATTTCTGATTCACTTTTTTTTACAATTTTTTTAACTTTTATTTAATGAATATAAATTTCCAAAATACGGCTTATGACTTACAATGGCTTCCCCCCCATATCGTCTCTCCCACCCACATCCCTCCCCTTTCCCAATCCCTCTCCCCTTCCATTCACATGAGGATTCATTTACGATTCTCTTTATACACAGAAGATCAGTTTAGCATACATTAAGTAAAGATTTCAACAGTTTGCTCCCACACAAACATAAAGTGAAAAATAATAGATGATTTTTTAAATGATGATGAAATCAGATCAGACCTATTGTCATGTTTAATCCCAGTGAGAGTCAAGTTGGGAGTTGATAATTTCTTCTTTTTTTTTTTTTACAGAAGATCAGTTTAGTATACATTAAGTAAAGATTTCAACAGTTTGCAACCCCATAGAAACACAAAGTGAAAAATACTGTTTGAGTACTCGTTATAGCATTAAGTCTCAATGTACAGCACATTAAGGACAGAGATCCTACATGAGGAGTAAGTGCACCGTGACTCCTGTTGTTGACTTTACAAATTGACACTCCTGTTTATGCCATCAGTAATCTCCCTATGCACCAGTCATGAGTTTCCAAGGCTATGGAAGCCTTTTGATTTCACCGACTCTTATCTTGTTTAGACAGGGTCATATTCAAAGTGGAGGTTCTCTCCTCCCTTCAGAGAAAGGTACCTCCTTCTTTGAAGACCTGTTCTTTCCACTGGGATCTCACTCACAGAGATCTTTCATTTAGAGTTTTTTTTTTTTTTTTTTTTTTTTTTTTTTTTTTTGCCAGAGTGTCTTGGCTTTCCATGCCTGAAATACTCTCATGGGCTTTTCAGCCAGATCGGAATGCCTCTAGGGCTGATTCTGAGGCCAGAGTGCTGTTTAGGACATCCGCCATTCTATGAGTCTACTGAGTATCTCGCTTCCCATGTTGGATCACTCTCCCCTTTATTTATTCTATCAGTTAGTACTAGCAGGTACTAGACTTGTTTATGTGCTCCCTTTGACTCTTAGTCCTTTCATTATGATCAATTGTGAACTGAAATTGATCACTTGGAATAGTGAGATGGCATTGGTACATGCCACCTTGATGGGATTAAATTGGAGTCCCCTGGTATGTTTCTAACTCTACCATTTGGGGCAAGTCAGCTTGAGCATGTCCCAAATTGTACATCTCTTCCCTCCATTATTCCCACTCTTATGTTTAACAGGGATCACATTTCAGTTAATTTTCAACACTTAAGAATAACTGTTTATTAATTACAGAATTAAACCAGTCATATTAAGTAGAACAGACAAAAAACTACTAAGAGGGATAATGTATTAAGTTGTTCATTAACAGTCAGGGCTATGCTGATCAAGTCACTGTTTCCCATAGTGTTCATTTCACTTCAACATGTTTCCTTTTTGGTGTTCAGTCAGTTGTCACCGATCAGGGAGAACATATGGTATTTGTCCCTTTGGGACTGGCTTATTTCACTCAGCATGATGTGTTCCAGATTCCTCCATTTTGTTGCAAATGACTGGATTTTGTTGTTTCTTACTGCGGTATAGTATTCTGAAGAGTACCTATCCCATAATTTCTTTATCCAGTCTACCGTTGATGGGCATTTAGGTTGGTTCCAGGTCTTAGCTATTGTGAATTGAGCTGCAATAAACATTAGGGTGCAGACCGCATTTTTGTTTGCCAATTTAAATTCCTTTGGATAAATTCCAAGGAGTGGGATGGCTGGGTCGAACGGTAGGGTTACCTTCAGGTTTCTGAGGAATCTCCAGACTGACTTCCATAGTGGCTTGACCAATTTGCATTCCCACCAACATTGGGTTAGTGTCCCTTTTTCCCCACATCCTCGCCAGCATCTGTTGTTGGTAGATTTCTGCATGTGAGCCATTCTAACCGGGGTGAGGTGAAACCTCACTGTGGTTTTGATTTGCATTTCCCTGATTGCTAATGACCTTGAACATTTTTTCATGTGCCTGTTGGCCATTTGGATTTCCTCTTTTGAAAAATGTCTGTTGAGGTCCTTGGCCCATCTCTTAATTGGGTTGTTGGTTTTGCTTTTGTGGAGTTTCTTGATTTCTTTGTAGATTCTGGTTATTAACCCTTTATCTGTTGCATAGTTTGCAAATATTTTTTCCCATACTGTCGGTTGTCTCTCACTCTCCTGACTGTTTCTTTTGCAGTACAGAAACTTCTCAATTTGATGCAATCCCAATAGTTGATTTTGGCTTTGACTGCCTGTGCCTCCCAGGTCTTTTCCAGAAATTCTTTGCCTGTGCCAATATCTTGAAGGGTTTCTCCAATATTCTCTAGTAACTTGATGGTGTCAGGTCATAGATTTAGGTCTTTAATCCATGTTGAGTGGATTTTTGTGTAAGGTGTAAGGCAGGGGTCTTGCTTCATGATTCTGCACGTGGAAATCCAATTTTCCCAGCACCATTTATTGAATAGACTGTCCTTGCTCCAGGAATTAGTTTTAGATCGTTGATCAAATATAAGTTGGATGTAGATGTTTGGGTTGATTTCTGGTGTTTCAATTCTGTTCCATTGGTCTATCCATCTGTTTCTGTACCAGTACCATGCTGTTTTGATTACTACTGCCCTGTAGTATGTCCTGAAATCTGGTATTGAGATGCCTCCGGCTTTGTTTTTGTTGTACAAGATTGCTTTAGCTATTCGAGGTCTCTTGTGCCTCCATATAAATTTCAGCACCATTTTTTCCAGATCTGAGAAGAAGGTCTTCGGTATCTTGATTGGTATTGCATTGAATCTGTAAATTGCTTTTGGGAGAATGGACATTTTGATGATGTTGATTCTTCCAATCCAGGAGCATGGAAGATTTTTCCATTTCTTGGTATCCTCTTTGATTTCTTTCTTTAAGGTTTTGTAATTTTCATCGTAGAGATCTTTAACGTCCGTGTTAAGTTTATTCCAAGGTATTTGATTGTTTTTGTAGCTATTGTGAATGGGATTGATCTTAGAAGTTCTTCCTCAGCCATGGCATTGTCTGTGTATACAAAGGCTGTTGATTTTTGTGCATTGATTTTATACCCTGCTACTTTGCCAAAATCTTCTATGAGTTCCAATAGTCTCTTAGTAGAGTTCTTTGGGTCCCCTAAATAAAGAATCATGTCATCTGCAAAGACGGATAGTTTGAGTTCTTCCTTCCCAATTTGTATCCCTTTAATTTCTTTTTCTTGCCTAAAAGCTCTGGCTAGAACCTCCAGAACTATATTGAATAGCAGTGGTGAGAGTGGGCATCCCTGTCTGGTACCAGATCTCAGTGGAAATGCTTCCAACTTTTCCCCATTCAATAGGATGTTGGCTGTGGGTTTTTCATAGATTGCTTTGATTGCATTGAGGAATGTTCCTTCCAAAACCAGTTTGCTTAGAGTTTTCATCATGAACGGGTGTTGTATTTTATCAAATACTTTCTCGGCATCTGTTGAGATAATCATATGTTTTTTCTTCTGCAGTCTGTTAATGTGGTGTATCACATTGATTGTCTTGCGCACATTAAACCATCCCTGCATACCAGGGATAAATATCACTTGGTCTGGGTGGATGATCTTTCTGATGTGTTGTTGCATTGTATTGGCGAGAATTTTATTGAGGAATTTTGCATCTATGTTCATTAGGGTTATTGGTCTGTAATTCTCTTTCAGTGCTGCATCTTTTTCCGGCTTAGGAATTAAGGTGATGCTGGCTTCATAGAAAGAATTTGGGAGGATTCCCTCTTCTTCCATTGTTCTGAATAGTTTGAGAAGAATTGGAGTTAGTTCTTCTTTAAATGTCTGGTAGAATTCAGCAGTGAATCCATCTGGTCCTGGGCTTTTCTTTGTTGGGAGGGCCTTTATTACTGTTTCAATTTCTGTCTCAGTTATGGGTCTGTTTAGGTTTTTGATGTCTTCCTGGTTCAATTTAGGTAGGTTGCATGTGTCCAGGAATCTATCCATTTCTGATAGGTTTCCCTGTTTGCTGGCATACAAGTCCTTGTAGTAGTTTCTGATGATTCTTTTTATTTCTGTGGTTCTCTGTTGTTACATTTCCTTTTTCATCTCTGATTTTATTGGTTTGGGTCTTCTCTCTTCTTTTTTTAGTTAGTTGGGCCAATGGGGTGTCAATTTTGTTTATTTTTTCAAAAAAACCAGCTCCTCGTTTGGCTGATTTTTTGTAATTTTTTTTTGGATTCAATCCTGTTAATTTCTTCTCTGATTTTAATTATTTCTCTTCTCCTGCTAGATTTGGGTCTGGTTTGCTGTAGGTTTTCTAGATCCTTGAGGTGAATAGAAAGCTCATCTATTTGGTGCCTTTCCAATTTCTTGATGTAGGCACCTATTGATATAAACATTCCTCTTAACACTGCTTTTGCTGTGTCCCATAAGTTTTGATATGTTGTGCTGTTATCCTCATTTACTTCCTGAAAATTTTTGATTTCTCTTTTAATTTCTTCTATGACCCATTGTTCATTCAGGAGCATGTTGTTCAATCTCCATGTGTTTGCGTATGCTCTAGGGATTCCTGAGTTGCTAATTTCCAACTTCATTCCTTTATGGTCTGAGAAGCTGCATGGTATGATTCTAATTCTTTTGAATTTGCTGAGACTTGCTTTATGGCCTAGTATGTGGTCAATCCTAGAGAAGGTTCCATGTACTGCTGAGAAGAATGTAAAAT